CGTATGCAGTACCTTTAAGGTTGTCAAAAGTTTACTCACGTTCCACATAATACGAGACAGATGAACTCTAGTACCTCCAAGAACCAACACGATTTTCCAATCACGTGGCAGGCGTAGAGGTTAAACGACCTTTGAAAGTTCATGCAGCGTCTGCACTTTTCTTCGCAACTTTTCTCCGCTCGAATCTGTGCAAACACTGCTGCATATCTGTTAATTTCCGACCTGCCGCGGGCCAAAGAAAACTTTCGAGCGATGGAGAACGAAATACAGCAAACACATTTGACACACTTCCTTTGGACGAACTGAGGGAGCGAAATATTTGCACTCGTGTATGGTTCAAAACGAAAAAATGATAAATTTTTAGAACTCGCGTTTTAAAGGTTTTACGACAAACGTAACAACAAAAAATAGAATGTTTGGAAGTTCTAGATCGAAACCACCCCTTAACGAAGGATCGGTTGCTGGTGGAGGGAACAGTGGAATTTGGGGGGGTGAAAACTTTGCGAGAAAGTCAGTGTTGCAGGAAAATTCCAGAACTCCGCGCGTCTGGTGTTTCAAGTGGTTACTATGGGGGAGGTTTATGGCAGTGCCAGTGCCGAGCCTGGCAAGTTTGGTTGCCGTATACTACGGTTTGCGATGCAACGCATATCTAATGTTCTAATACGAAATAGTATAAATTATATTCCTATAAATATCGGGTACTTCAAATTGTTTAACTACAGTGTACTTTAATCGTAAATGTAACGAATGTTAAAGACGGTGATTGGTATTTGTTACCATGGATTGATGGATTTTTTTACGTTTTAACACGTGTAGAATACAAGCGAGCATCTGTTCCCTCGTACTGCAAAATTGTACGTCTATTTGATTCCAATATACATATATCAGCAGGTGAAACGGAATTAAACAATTTACCAGCAAACGGACGCAATAAAGTTGGAAGAAGAATCGCAGGGTAATAGTTTACGAGGAAACAGTCCGCGAACATTTAATTGGATGAACGTCGAATGAGACCAGCGAGAAGACAAGGGATGAAGGAGGAGGGGTAGGAACATCGAGCAACAAATAAAACTTATCAACAAGTCGACGCGGCTGTCGTTGAACCCGCGTGCAATCGACGGTACACAAGGATTTGATTGGATAGGTCGTTCGATTGCATATTGCATCCGACGAATATCGAAATCCCTTGCGCTCAATTAAAACCACGACAGGACCCGGCTGGTATATCGAATTCACGGAGTTTAAATCATCGAACATAGAGAAGGAGGGCGGGCGACACTGAAAAAGTACTATGATCCCGTTAATAAAAAAAAAAATTGATACGATGCAGATCACGTTTGCATACATGTCAATCCGTGTTTCTGGATTCCAGCTTCTTTCTTTCGTTTCTAAAGACCCGTCGATCCATTACAACGACCGAATCGCGTTTAGTTTTCCACTGGATGTTCACTGATACGTTTGCCTATTTTCCTAAGCACAGTTTTTGCATTATTAAATATATCAAAGGTATTGAAATTTTATTTCATTAACAGAATTGAAATCTATTTTACGATGTATTTTTTTGTAGCTACTAGATCAGAAGCTCTGACAGATTATTCCTATCTGTTCCGTAGAAATATTTCACATATTATAGGAAAATGTTTTAGGTATTACGTGTTATAATTTTCGTGTAGGATTTCGAGAAATTTTTCTCGTTTCATCGAAGTTTTCAAATACCTAAAATTCAGAGTAAAACGGAAGTTTCTACGACCTTTATGAACTTTCCGAAGAAACTGAAATCTGAACGACGAGGTGGAAGCTCCAGTTTTCATTCTTGACGAAAACATTTTGGTTACGGTTTATTTAACGAAGTACAAAATATTACGAGAACCATGAACAAACCTTTAGAAAATTGAAGGCAAGCTATAACAATGTCTAATTAAAAAATTATGCTTCACTCGCGTGTACGAAATTTAGCAACTTCTCTCGTTAAATACTAATTGTAAGTAAAACAATAGCTGATCGAGAACGTTACTTGAACAAGTTGCACAGTCTTGCATAATTTTCCTTCCTAATTACGTTTTATTTAAAATTCTATCGAATTAGATTAGCTGTATAAATAATAGCTTTCGGGCGAAAGTTTTTCTTGCATAAAATAGTTTAAAAAATAAAAGTCAGACTTAAGGCTTCCTTCTAGAATGCGTACAGAAGTAATTGGTATGCTATGGGTTAGATTTAATTTGGAAACCGCTCACTGGGTAAGAATTAATTCGTAACGTGACAAGAATAATCGATTCAATTCGGTAAGAACTACACGTAGGAAAATACTCAGTAAGTAATATTTATACTAATTCTGTACGGTACAGAATTCTTTGTACGCTTTTTTAAGTTCGAACTGTTAGAGTGATATATATATATATATTAACAGATGTAAATTTTTCAGTTATTCTTTTGATTTTTACACATCGCCGTGTTGTAAAATTGACAACTGGGGATGTCATTAAAGTCTTCCAATTTCATAATAGCTACAAATTACTTCTGGTTTATTGTGCTACAAATATAACGCGTTTCGTAGTTAAGGTCAGAGTCAAGTAAATTTTATTCAAGAATAACGAATAGAAATTTTAGATTTATTCGTAAACTTCCGATTACTTTTCATTTGTAAAGCGGAATCCATTAACGGATTCTTTAAAGAGACATTCGGGGGAGCGAAGTCTTTGGAAGAACTTACGTCCACGTACTATGTTAACTACACTTGACAAGTTTGATGATCAAGTAAGACGAGAATTTATACTAGAGATCATTGATCTGCGTTCTTCGGCTTCCATTTTCGACGAAAGGTGAAACGTCAGCGAGGCAAATGTCGCTCGATTATACGGCGCGATCGGAATCCCCGCCAGCCAGCCAGCGTGGATGAAGCGGTGCGACGTAAATCCGTCTTGTTCGATGGAGAAATGCACAGGAAGCCGTGAACGAGCGGGCCGAGAGCAGCATTTGTGACGGACGAACGCATTCCCTGCGTAGGAACCAACATGCGGGATCTGAAGCATGCAGCCAATACGGTGCCCGTGTTCGGTGTTGAACGATTCAACACGGCTCGGAACGGTTCAGCCCCGGAACAGAAGCTGAAGCGTAGCGGCATCAGGACGTCAATGCACGCTTCTCTACACCCTTGTTATCACATTACACCACAGCAGGTGGGTAATTTCGTCGTATACGGCAACGTACAATAAGGCAAATGTACCAATAACTGACCATGAACCACCCTAGAGGATCTACACCCCCAGAAAGAAGAACGAACATCATCCAACCTGATGGTTGCAAAATGACATAGTCATGATTCCTCAGCCTACGTTTCGCCATAGATGTATTCTTATTTCTCGTAATCATCCACAATTGTATTCCTCGAGGCCTGTTACTCTGTTCTCACACCCTTATTCTAACCCTAAAGGGTTGCCTTTGGGAGCAAAGGTTTTGTTATCGAAGTTACAAAAAGTATAAATCAAAATTTATTACTCTAGTATATTTTTAAAACGAAAAAGTCCAACCGAAAATAACTCGCGGTTATCCAAGCATTGTTGTATTATTTATTAAAAGTTCGCAAACGCTCGAATGCTATCGTGTACGAGTGCGTGTCATGTTTTCAAAGGACTTTCTTCCTCCAGAGAATACTGAAACTCCTTCCTCGAGAACCGATTGCGAAATTCACGCTGCTCGCGTCCACTCGTGGCGGTAATTTTTCCTACAGCGTCGCGTGCCGAACGACCGCAATAATTCCGCGTCGTTTCGACGGAAGCGGTCGTCAGCGCTGCAACGACCTGTGTTATTCCGTGTGCGTAACGAGCATGGTCTCGAACGAGTATTCAGACATTAATGTCCCGATATCCGCGTTGTTCTACCTGGCTCGCGTTATCTTTGATTGGCCCGATTGCCCGAAGTTTTATTTGATTATCCGTCCGCCACGGTTACGCGGATTCGCCCGATAATCCATCTGTCTTGTATTTTACGCGCAACAACTGGGACAACTAGTTAAATAACGATCCAACCGACTCAAGCGCGATAATCGCGGACAAGCAATTGGACATACACGTTGGAGGGAAGTTGGGTCTGAGCGCGAGAGGTTAACTGGGGATTCGTGACATCTACGATCACAGTTTTCGCGAGAAAAGGCAAGGAGAGGAACATACGGCATAATATGCTGGATTACGTTAAACCTTGTAAGTAACTCGTAAACTGTGTCGCGGGTGATTGCGGTGAATTATCCACAGGTTGGCTTAACACCTGGCTGTAGTTGTACGTCCTCGGGAACAGGGTTGTAGTTTCTTTTTTACCGTCCTCAAAATTATTCAATCTCAACAACCTGTACTTATCTACTTAACCCTTTTTCTACGATTTAATTTATGAACCTATAATGTTCTTTCTTTAGAACAAACTTACCTTAATAGTATTGTAACTATACTATACTATACTATAGCAAACACTGATTTTTGCATTCTATTCTGATCGTGTCTTCTTTCTTATTTGACATTTGTGTATAGCCTGAAAACTCGTTCTTTAAAATTTCAAATATACAATAACCTATTACTTCCATAAGAGTTCATCATCATTTCATACTATATTAGTGAAGAAAATAATATATAGAATGTTCAATTACAATACAAAGCAACATTGGACATTTAACGGATTAAAATATTTCTAACGAGAGATCTGTACAGTCCCACGACTATGTCCTACGAAATAGAAATGTGACAGAAGAATCTGTTCCAGCAGTTCTGATGAGTTATAAAACAATGCTACTAACATTATATAAAATTTTAAGAAGTTTGCTATTTTATCAGTTTTATATATTTGAAAAAAGTTAATTTCCTCCGGCCAAATGTCAACGTGTCTGATAAACGTAAACGCCCCAGGCTTGTCGCGAAGGGAAGAGAAACCGCGAGCTCGAAACCAGCAAGTATGTATACCGTGAAAAAGTCACCCGGCAGATCGAAGGTGAACCATGTTCATGCTCAAGCATTTACCGGCAAACAGATCGAATCTGGTCCTGCTCCTCTCACTGTCCTCGAAGCCCTCAAGGTCGTCCTCGTAATCTTCGTAATCCTCGGCGTGCTCCCTCCTCTCTTTCACGCTGACGTTCCTCGGCAAGGCATTGCTGGTCGACCTTTGAGCAGCTTGCCTCACTCTGGCTTGGTTATTGTTACTGAAGAAGACCGCTGGTGGCGGCGGCGTCGACAGCTGAGAACCCTGTAGACGTCTCTGTAGATATCTGGCCAAGATCGCCTGAACCGCGTCTGTCTCGGCGCCGTCTGGAAGACAGAAATTATGTTGCTCTCGTAATCAGGCCAATACTTTTTGTGAGAATCGTAGTATTTCGCCCTCCTCCCTCTCTCGCTTTCTTTCGTTCGCGCGCGTTCTCTTTCTCTCTCCCGCGTAATTCTTTGCCCTCTTGTATTAATTCCTTGCCAAAAGCCTCGTCGTTTTTACTCGTACATTTGTATGCATGAAATTTTTCATACGCCTCGCTAAGTGCTCCTAAGAGGCCCGCCTTTGGAACGAGTAATATGCCACTTGCTTTTCCTCCGAGCTCGAGTACTTTTTCTCGTTCCTTCGTCTCATGCAAGATTTCGGTGAATTTGGGGAACGATTCCGAGAGAACGTCGTCGCTTGGGAAACATTTCTCTCCTTGGTTGTCTTGGCGGCGTGAAGTCCTTTGCTCGCCGGAGTTCTCAAAATTATCTTCCAGTATGATTTACGTTTACATTGTTATCGTTTCCGTATTTTTTTGGTAACGAAGAATAACCATGAGTGATTTACGATATGATTCGAGTGTTTTATGTTATATCGATTCTTCGGGTTTACCATTTTCATTTCGTCTGTCTCGGACTTCTGACAGATGGCCCCCTATTTGTTTCCTTGTTTCAGTTAGTCACGAGTTTTGTTTTTACAGCTTCGGGCAAGCAATCTATTTACTTGTTACGTATCCTGGCCTCACGGTTGTCATCACGTAGTTACACTTTCTTTGTAGCAGCGTGTGTCAGTTCGTTGGAAAGAGTAATGAACTTCTTCCAAGTAGAAACGATAAAGTTTATATCAGATTTGACGTAAGTAGCTTAGAAGTTATGTAGGCAGTGATGATGTTGGAGCAAAAGCATGTTGAGAAACGAGCGTCAAAGGTAGTTATCTAAGTATAAAAGAACATTGGCTCTTCCATTCTAACGATTAAATTATTACACGAATGATCGGTTCGATTTCTCCTTCGTTGAAAATTTCGAAAATCCACGGAATATACGAGTCCACGGTCTGAGCGTATTAAATGTCACGTTAGAAATTTAAACTACCTATAACTTTTCCCAAGTGTTATGTAAAAGATCCGACATGTTGTTCTACGGCAACCCTAATTCGAGCTCTCATTATCGTAGATCTTCCCAAATTTATGGTCACATTACGATTCTTCGAAGATCAGCAGAGCATGAAATCGTTGGGAACGAGACTTATTTATGGTGGATCGCACGGATAAACGTCACATTATAGGGTGTGACTTACGGCGTACTCGGAGATGAGCAGGGAGCCTCGACATGCGCCTGAGTTACGAGAAACCGTCCAACCTAGTTAAAAGCATTCGACGTGGTCGTTAGAGAGATACGGCGACTGTAACTGTGTTTGCTAGTAACAGGGAAACGATATGCAACGGAGATTCTCGACCAGGCAGGACACTTCATTAGAGAGTCCTGCCTGCCCGAGTATGCGTTTGACGTTGAAGGGCGTCCTCGAATCGTCAACGTCACGTATACGTGATGCGTGTAGATTAAAGGATGTACGCGCTACTCAATATCACTTTGAACACGAACGATACAAAAGCAACACTCGTGCCCAGCTATCAGTGGCCACCATTTGATTGCAAATATTCGTCATCGAGAAAGAAACAAAAATGAAGTCACATATTGTATTCATTCTTTATAATGCTTCGGTGTTAGGAACTACTGTCTTACTATTTTTCTAGTTACATGTGTGATGCTAGATGCTAAGTATACTAGAGTAGTGGTTTCAAACACTTTAGGAAGCTCCTCCTTTGATGGTAATAATGATCTATTAGAACCCTAAAAGACACTCTTAAGAACAGAAAGTGTAGGAAATGAAATGAAAGAATTCACAACAGAAGTCACGTGTAGTAATTATGAGATTAACACTTACTTGTTTCAGTCGAATAACGTATTTTATTGTGAATCTTTGGTTCGAGTCAGCTTCAGTATCAGTGAAAACATCTAAAAAGTATCGTGGTTTTTGTTTTCTTAAATTTGTATACAGTAAACGATTAAACTGTAGTTCTCAAATATTTTTAAAATTCGTTTGAAATATTACTTTTTCACATTTTTTACCTTTTTCATACACATTGAACTTTGTTCCTTTCGAATAAACCTTCTCTCGCAACCAACATGAAATTTCACTTCCTGTTAGGAACGACAGATCACGACACAGGTTGTACGTTACAGCGCGACGGATTTGATTTGCATGCGTTTGAATATTTATATTCATATTCGTTGAAAAAACAATGTGGATGGTAGCAAGGAATTAATTGCAGCTGGGCCGTGGTTGAGCGTTTAAAATTACAAGCATCGTTTATTTGATTTTTACACAGGCCCCAATCATTTTTCTCTCTCTCCTCTTTTCCGTAAGCCGAGCACAGAAAGCACCATGGGTTTATGCAAATCAACAGAGACTGTGGAAATAATTTGCTTAAAAGTTCATTTGCTCGTGCATGATTTTTCAATCAACGAGCTTGTGCGCTTGCTGAAGAAAATGTGTACGTAACACAGATGAACATAATTAAATTTAATATTACTTTCTCGAACTCATTTGAGCGTGTTGTCCGTTATTTTTCATACTGTTTATTAACGACATTGCATTTATATTTCAGTATATTTCAGTTTTATTATATGACTTAGCCTCACTACATTCAGAAAGATCTCTTGAGTCCTGACATTTGTTGAATTATAAACAATTTGTTCTTTAACATCTTTAACCGTAAATCTACCCATAACTCAGAGTAATTTATGATTATTGTTTCAATGATGCTACATTGAACATATCACGTTTATCCGATTTCGTTAAAGAGGTCATTTCGATTATCTACATAGTTTACACTTGGGTCTAATTCTTAGAATATTCCGATCGAAACATTCGCAAATCGATGTCTCGATTCTCGAAATTTCAATTTCTTCATAACCTACATATATCGTCCAAACAGATGTGAAAAAATGTGAAATCGATGTTTCGTTGAAAAAGAAATTAATCGTGTAGTGATTCTCGAAAATGTGTTGTTAAAACTTTCTCGAAATACCATGGAAAAATTCTTGTAAGAATCTGTAACGTCTCTGCTGCTATGCAAGCGTTAGAATTTTTAGGGCACGAAGATCTGATTTTTTTTCTAATCTGCCACTGTCTGGTCTCGATTTTGGCGTGGACGGTGTTTCTGAGCTTGTTGAACGTTCCATGGCGATCGTCCTCACACGAGGCGACGAAGTCAAGATCCAAGGAATCAACGGAAGATCGTTCAGACTCGAGAAAACTCCCAATGGATTACCACCCCGAAGGAAATCAATTTTTGGCAAAGACCCTCGTCGTGAACGAGTGTAATTACGCCGATTTTGTCCCGTAAGCCCGTTCGCACGCGTGGGTACCCCGCAATTGAATTTAATTGATTGTATCGCCCCAATTGCGCGGTTTCCTTTCCGCTCTGGCGAATTTTAGGTTCTCAAATCTCATCGTTTTCATGACTACGACGAAAGCATGGCAATTTCTAAATTAGACGAACACATACTTTGAGAATAGAATTTTAAAGTTCTACGAGAGTTAAGAGATTATTTTAATCGTGCCAATATTTATCAGAAACATATAATGATTAGAAATATTACCTTTGAGTGGTGTATAAATTTAGTGACTAAATTGTTTCAAAAAAGTTATTTCGTGGTTATCGATTAAAATTTCGTATTACATATACTAATAATTAATGAAATTACGATTCGTCCGAAATTAACGGAACTTTTATCTCCAAAACATCGGTTTCAGGGTTTCAGAATCGCAATCGAGCTTGCATGTATCTTCGTCGGTCACTATCGATGACTATAATTTGCTCGAAGAAATTCTTAAAGATGTGCCTGAATATTTTCTGACGAATTCGAAAAATCATTTTGAGGATTTACAGGAAATCTGCGACGCTTCTGGAACAAGGCAAGGAATTAAGATCGAGAGAAGAATTGAAAATGAAACATTGATGGGAAGTTTATTAAATAGAGATTCAAACGATAGTATCAAAGCGAGAAAGAGTTTTGAAAACACGTATGAACAGCTCGAGCATGACGTCTTCGCGAATGAAACAAACAGTCTGAAGCGATTGATTCCTCGAAAAACAAGCACAGAGAATGTAACTATCGAAGAAAACTCTGCCAAGTTTGAATCGAGAGATGGAAATCAGTCGGAGGAAAAATTTAGAAACGACCAAGTCGTATCGAAAACAATCTGGAACGATTCGTGCGTTGAACGTAAAAATAGAGTCGATGGATCCTCCAACGACGAAGTCTGTTCGCTGAATAAATTCGTGGCTCGTTTAGAAATTGGGAGAAGTAATTCGAATGAAGAGTCGGAGATCCATTCAGTGGATACGAAAATGAAAACCGAAGAACGCCCAGAAACGGTATCGAGTAATTCTGTGGCAGAAAAGTCTCCTGTTTCGGTTTTCCAAGAAAGTAATAAGTCTGAGGCGAAATGGAACGGATCTTCGAACGATGAAACGATCCCTTCGAAAGCGTGCGGTACAGAGATATCCGCGCAACTCCGCGAAAACGAATCCACCGAGAAAGAGAAGGAAGACAATCGCGAAGCAACTTTGTTGGACGGCGAAGATCATTCAAAGATGGCTCTTGATAGATTCGAGGAACGTTTAAATTCCCTCCAAAAGGATACTGAAATATGCTCTCGGAAGGAGGGCGATTATCTCGGCGAACAGTTTGGAATATTCCCAGAAAAAGAAGCAAATTGTACAGAAGAAAAATCTATAATGCATTCCGGTAAGAACGAAACGTCGTTTCACGAGGAAGAGAAAGAAGAAGGGGAAGTATTTGGACCGCTTCCAGACGCGAATTCGCCGAAAAGTGATCGTGATGCTGAATCAACTATTTCCGTGGTTCGACCGTAAGTCAATTAAAAGCAACACACAATTAGACGCGTTTATCGCGCGATGTGGTATCAATACTTTGTCCAACTTTTCTGCTTCTTTCGACTTGTCTTGCATTTCTATCCTTGTTGCACA